CCCTCCCAACCAGCTCTCCTGATGGCCCAGTGCATGGCAGTCCAATTACCAAACAACAAAGTCCCCATAAACCTGGGCCCTGGCTTCTGAGGTTAAAGATTAAGCAGTCCCTGGAAACAACAATAATGAAGTATAAGCAACAGGCTGTGCAAAACACCAGGGTCCCTTTCCCAATTACTAGCTACACAGGAAGACTGTGACACCATCAGCTGGGGGCAAGGGTCTGAAGATTCAGCTACTAAATATGGGACCCACCTTCTCCTACCCCTATAATAACACATATAACAGCAAAAATCTGGGGGCACAATCCTGAGGGAGAAACTGGACCCAGAGGAAGCAGGAGGGACAGCCACAACAGGAAAAGACCGGGCCATTCCAAACAGGATACCAAACAGTCAGCTGGGTGGAAAGAGGTAGTGCTTCAGCACCCCCAACTCCCCCAGAGCCGTGCCATGTCTGCCTCTCAGTGCCTACATCAGGGGACTGCAGACTTATCAGAAGGCAAGAGCTGACCTTAAAAATAGTTACCTTTTTTTTTAGACAGCAATTCAGCAATATCTATCAAAAATTTTTTAATGCACACTCTGAGCTACTTTATACTACTAAGATGGTACCCTACAGGTACAATCTTACCATTACTTACATACTAGCAAGTCTACTCCAAAACATTATGTATAAGAATTCTCACTGAAGTATTTTACATGAAAGCAAAAACTGGTAACATGAATGTCCACCAATAAAGAACTAAATGCGTTACAATTCATCCATATGATGCAAGGATCTGCAAAGAACTCCAATTTCCAAATTGAGAACTTAATTTTGTATTAAGTCAAGAAAAAGCACAATGGGTACAGAATGCTTCTATTTGGGTAAGTTAAAAAGCATAATATATATATTCTGTAGGGAAACCCAAGATAGTCCCCCTGCCCCTTTCAGAGAGAAGGTCTGGGAGAAGATTGACTTTGCATTTTACACCTTTGTGTCCTGTTTGAATTTTTTATCATGGGTACAAGTTGCTTTTATTGAATATATTCCCTAGAGTTTTAAAATAATGGTAAGAAATGCATCTGCTAACATGGAAAGATGTTCAGAATATACTGCTAAGTTATTTTTAGCTGGAAAACATACGCATGCATCGAAAAAGATCAGGAAAGTACACACCACGGTGCTGCCCGGGGTTCTCTCTGGGTAGGATTGTGGTGTTTTTCCTGCTCTTTCTACCTGTCTGCTTTTTCTCTAATAATCAGGGGTGGTTTGATATTAAGATATCAATAACAACAGCAATAATAATACTAACAGAAAACAAAATTGTCTTGGAGAAGGAACAATAACAGAATTCAGAGGTAAAGCTGCGGGCCATAGACAAGTGAAGGCAGAGGCCAGGTAACCAGAGACTAGGGAGGATGGAGGAGGCAGGACATACCTGCCTGTGCACCTGGATATAAAGAAGCTCTGGAAATGGTCCTCTTTCCCCCAAGTGCATGTGGTGGCAGCAGCAGTGATGGTGACCCAAGGAGTCCTGTCTCCCCGCAGTGACCCAGCTCTGAGGCTCTCATCCTACCTTGGATGACAAGACTGGCATGGAAGCTCCAGAGCATGGCCCTGGGTGACATCTACTTCTGCAGGAGGCTCTCCTCCTTGTCCCCCTGATCCCCAAACCATCCTGGAAACAGGGAAGGATGTACTACCTCCATTAAAGAGAGGAGAAAACTGGTCTAGTGTCACTTAGCTCCAAAATGTTGCCTGGTCTGATCCCTAGTTCTCATCTGGAAGGTCTCCTCAAAATACCTCCTAAGGTAAGGCATGGGACCAAGGAAGCCTGTGACCATAACTCCACACTTAACAGTAGGATGAGGCAGCAGCTCTGTCTCAAGGGCAGTGATGGCAGAGAGCACCAGGTTCCATCTGAAGTCAAGAGGTGCAGGACCAAAGAAACAAAGCAGGCCCACATCTGTGGGTGGGTATGAGGGAGCGAGCATGGATAATCATTTTTTACTTCCTTCTCTAAATACTGCACAGTCTTACCTTCACACTGCTTCTTCTCATGTCTTTTCATCAAGGTCTTATCAACCTCTGCATTACCAGACCACCTTAAAAATATGACCTCTCTGCTGCACACAGCTGAGGGCTGCAAAGAAAGCTATCCAGGAGATGGTCACAGTCTCCACAGAAGGCCTGCACACCAAGGAGGAGGCTCTCAGCCTGAAGTCACGCCGAGTGAGCCAGGGAAAGTAAGGGCTCACGCATGCAGTGAGGGGGCAGACTCTACAAGATGCTGAAAGGCAGGCTCCCAGGGGAAGAGAAGACACTCATATCTCACTTTCCCACCCCAAGATGACTAAACACCCCGACTCTAGCAGAAACAGCTGGTCATCTGTCTACACTGTCTGGTTGTTGGGATTTGGTGACTACATACATGGCACAGGCTTCCAAGCACATATTTCCAATGGAAAATACCAACTCTAGCCACCAACACCTCTCTGTTACTGACTCACAGGGCCACCTTATGTCCAAACAGGGCCTGAAAGCTGTAGAATGTAATAGTTATAAACACTGGCTCTGGAGTCAACACTGTCTGGGGTTGAATCCTGCCTCTGTCTCTACCAGCTGTGTGACCCCAACAAATTACTTCACCTCTCTGTGGCCTAGTTTCCTCAGCTGTTGTGAGCATTAAATGAGATGATGCCCATAAAATGCTTAGCATAGGGTGTGACACAAAGTGAGAGATCAATAAACGCTAGCTAAAAATAATTCATCAGGATATCGGCATACACACACTCACAACGCTACAGAATCCAATCACCATGACAACATCAAGCCCAGGGAGCACCAAGACGACGGATGTGTTCCCAACTGCATCCTCCCCACTCTCCCCTAGGTGAGTCTCACCATCAGACAGTGAAAGGGGCCAAGGAAGAAAACAAAGATTTTGAAAGTGGAGAAAATCCAGGCCAGAAGAACATGGGAGCCTTTGTTAAAGGCAGGGGTTCAGTACACTACCCAAACCTCAGATGATTGTGTCAACCAATTACAAAAGGACGGGGTGTGTGCTGTGTGAGCACGCATGCATGAACACTCTGTGCAGAAGGAGAGGGCTGGGGAGAGGAGACAAGGAAGAGAGGGAATTCCTGGCATCTAAGCACTCTCCCTTCACCACCGCACCAGAGGATGCTGACGCACTGACCTGGGCCTTGGCCAAGCCCTGGACTCCTGCTGAAGCAAAGCATGAGCACATCCCTCAAGAAAGTAGCCTTTCAAAGGCTGGGCTGGGGAATCTTCTCCAGGGAGAGAAAGGGCTCCCTGGGACAAAGCGGAAGTGGGGCATGGCGGGTGGTGGGGGGTGGCAGGGAGAATATGCAGGGAAATGAAGGCACAGGAGGAACAGCAGAGAAACAGGAGAGTGAAAATTCAGAACCACAAGGAGCCAGCAGAATTCAGAACTGGGGCAACTGGGGAATGTCCTTCAGAAAAACCATCCCTGTCAAGATCATCGTAACAACTGGTCCCACTTGTGTCCTCAGAAACAGACTTCAGAGAGAAATGAGAGTCTCTGTAGGCTCCTAAAGTCTGGGGCTCGATCAGAAAACAAAAGGATGCCAAGGAACAGAGCAAATGCTTATTGCCTTGTGGACCAAAGTGCTAACTCAGTGCAGAGAGCTGGCAGGTGGGCAGCCAGCAGGCCCTCAGCTGATTTCCAGACATTGGCTGTACAAGAGACACAGAACAGAACAACAGCCATAACAGTATTTGTTTGGGCAGGGGGAAGAATAAGATGCTTTATTGCAAGGGAAAAAGGTGGCCGTGATTGACTCTATCAATTAAAATGACCAGACCCATTTCCTAGGCCACTCACGATCTTTGTCCTCAGCTTGAAATAAATAGCGATGAAGATTTCTTTCCGGCTAAACATGGTGGACTGAACATTCACGTTCATCTCTACTCCCTCCCAAAACCCCATTAAAATAACAAGGTGACAAACTCTAGCAGGAAGAATGTATCCAAGAAAAATAAAATGGAATCAACAGATCATCTGATACACTGAGTTGTATCTGTCTTACAAAATTAGTGTCAGTAACACTCACTATGCAAAAGAAAAAGGCAGACCAGCCCCAGTGGCCTAGTGGTTGAGTTAGGTGCGCTCTGCTTTGGCAGCCCAGGTTCAGTTCCCAGGTGCAGACCTACACTGCCCTGCTAGCAGCCATGCTGTGCTGGAGGCCCACATACTAAAAAATAGAGGAAGATTGGCACAGATGTTAGCTCAGGGAGAATACTCCTCAGCAAAAAAAAGAAAAAGGCAATTATTAACTGCCTTTCTGATTAAAAGAAAAGTTTTCTGATTAAAAAGACTGTAAATACATAACTTAGCTCAAGTGTAGAAATGACATTAGGAGAATAAAGAAGGGAAGAGTTTATGAAACCTCAATTTTATTCTTCTGTGAGAAGTCAATAGATAATATCTAAAACCAATAAATCCAGAAATAGTGGTACAAACATTTTATTTAGATAATTGGAGGTAAATAGTAGAGGAAGCAGCAAGAGCTTTTAGTAGAATCAGAAGCTGCATTTTAATTCTTTTAGAAATGAAAGTGAGTGGCTCTAGAGAGCAAGACATGGTATGCAAAGGCAGAGCAGGGGACTCTTGCTTATCATTATAAGCCTTGCAATAGTATTTGATCAAAATAGAAATTTTCTTAAACAGAAAAAAAGATTTATTTAAAGATCTAACTCAAATTACTCTTCCCCCACGAAGTCTTCTCAGATCTCCTTCCTCTTCTCTCATGAAAATTACAGTCTGTATCATCCATCTGGCAATTAATCATATTCCACTTGGCAATGAGCTAAGCTCTTCTGTTGTTAATTATCTTTCCACCTGTGTCTAACTAAAATTATAACTGCTTCACAGCAGAGCACACGTCTCACAATCTTTGAGGAGTCCACAGCAGACCAGGTTACTAAATCCACAAGCTCGGAGGAAGTGCAGTAGCCCGGTTCCCCATTACCTGCATAAGCGTTGGCCTGCTGCAGAAGGTCGGTGCAGGTATGCACGTCGGCAAACGCACGGATGCCCAGGCAATTGGTGGGATGCAACTGAGACTGCAGAAAGTCACAGCAGTTCTGCCGAACGTCCATGAGCTGCAGCAAGCTGGCTGCTGGGAGCAGCACCTGGAGGAGAAGGTGACATTCTGAGACACCAGATCCCATCGGCAGGGCCTCATCTCCCTAAAGCACTGTCCCAATCATACTGCTCCCATGCTCAAGGTCTTTGCATGGCTCTCCAGTGCCTGCCCAAGTAAGTCCAAACCTCCTGGCCTGGCCTTCAGGGCAGCCCCAGCCTTATTTCTCACTACTCTCCGCTTCATGGACTCTAAGCATCAGCAGATTCTCTGTATCCCTACAGCCCACAGCAGTGCTTCCCAATCTCGAGTGTGTTAAGAATTCCCTGAGGACCTTATTAAAATGCAGATTCTGATTCAACAGGAATAGGATGAGGTCAGAGCGCCTGTATTTCTAACAAGCACCCAGGTGATACCTGCAGCCGCTGGTCCATGAACCACGCCTTGAGTAAAAAGACCATTATGGACTGAATGTTCCTGTGCTCCCCCCCGCAATTTATATGAAGCCCAAACCCCCAGCATGACTGTATTTGAAGATAAGGCCTGTGAGGATGTGATGAAGGTTAAATGAGGCGATAAGCCCTAATCCCATAGGGCTGGTATCCTTACAAAAAGAGGAAGAGAGACCAGAGCTCTCTAGCAGGTGAGGACACAGGGAGAAGATGAACTTCTGCAAGCCAGGAAGAGAGCCCTCACCAGAAAATGAATCAGCTGGAAGCTTGATCCTGGACTTCTAACTTCCAAAACTGTGATAAAATAAATTTCTGTTGGTTAAGCCACCCAATCTGCGGTTATTTTGTTATGGCAGCCCAAGCAGACCAAGACAGATCGGTTCTCCTACTTGGCTACACACTGGAATCAGCTGGAGAATTTTTCAAATGCCAATGCCTGTGTCTCATCCCCAAAGATTCCAACTTAATAGGAATGTGGTGTGGCCTGGACAGTGAGATTTTATAAGTTCCCCAGGTGCTTCTAATGTACAGCCAAGTTTGAGAACCAGGGCCCCCAGTCTTCAGCGCACTGTCCTTACTCAGAAAGGTACTTAGTGAATCCTTCACTAGTTCCTTCACCACTTAATTACTGATCATCTGCATGCCAGGCACTGTTCTAGGCTCTGGGATTTCATGGTAAGCAAGAGAAACCAGACCCCTGCTCTTATGGAACTTAAAATCTACTGGAACAATCTCGCCTCAGGAACCAGGCAATCACACTTTATTCTCCCATCCAACAGACAAATAGTAAAAAACATCCTTGGGTACATTCTCAGAGAAAGAAGAGCTGAGTTTCCTTTTGAAAGATCACAGGACACATGAGTATTTATACTGTATCCTGGAAGACAGAAATAGCTCCTGCTCAGGTGTGTGTACATGTGTTGTTCCTAAAAGTCAGGGAAGACCGGCTTGAGCAGGCCAGATGGGTGCTCAGACTGCCAAGCCCTGTAAAGCTTCCCTAGGCCTGTCCCACAGCCCCTGAAGCCTGCCCTCTGGATCACAAATCCAGGATAGATGGCCAGAGTGTTACTTGACCCCAGCTTTGCTCCCCCTCACCCCTGCCCTGCAGAAGGGGTAGATAGTCTGAGAGTGACTTTCCAAAAAGAAATTTAGAAAAAAAAATCAGAGAACAGAATAGTTTGATTTGAGGCTGCTTAGCTCAGGGCCCCCAGCATCAATTTCACCCCAAAACAACCCCCATGTCCCGGGCCTTTGCTCTCAGCTGCTCCCCTGGCTCTCAGAGAGAGTGTCTGGGCCAGCCAGACTCCAGCTGTTCCCACCCACAAGTGCTTGCCCAGGAAGACACGGGCTATAGATGCATCTGTTTTCTTAATTCAGAGCACTACAAAAGTCTTTTTTTTTTTTTTAAGTGATTTAAATTCTGGATCCTGACCTTCTCCCAAACAGCTCTTAACCCTCTGCTCTAGCTCTGGTCACCTCCATGTGCTCAGGCCAAAAACTCTGCCCCACTGCCCATTCCTGGGACTTATCCCTCCACTAGGGTAATAAGCTGTCCAGGTTTGCCCAGGACACAGGACTTCTAGTGCTAAAACAGGGATGGTTGGTTACCCTTCCTCATCCCTGCCCATACACAGAAACCATCAAGAGCCTCCACTATCAGTGGTCCTACACCCAGCTAAACGCCTGCTCTCCACAAGGTAGGAGAGCTCTTCCTACCTACAAGCTTCAACTTCTCCCTCACAATGGCTGAGTTCTAGAAAACATGCCCCTCTCCCCTTTGCCGTCTCTCTTCCACTCTCCAATGTCTCCAGCAGGACAGCAGTAAATTAGCATCATGTCTTTGGTATTTTCTGAACCACTGATTCATTCCAGAGAAGGAAAAAGATAAAATCACCCACTCTTGAAAGTTTTAGACCGTAAGTAAACATAGCCAGGCTCCAAATCTGACCACCTGAACTCCATCCCCACTAGGCAGCCACCATCCCCACTAAGCAGCCATAAATTGGGAAACTCAATTAATCTGTGAGCTTGCTCAGCCTAGCCAGACAGATTCCAGGACCAGATTAGTCTCTGCCTGCTAGTTAACTGGAGAACCATTAACCATTCTTGCTGAATAAAAACGAGGAATGGAAAGCTGTGTTCCAAACCCCAAATGACCTCCATGAACCCGCTGACCAGCACCAGCTACAAACCCTAGAGTTAGGGCCATAGGTTGACCAACCATCTGGTTTGCTGAGACTTTGCCAATTTCAACACTGAAAGTCCTGTGTCCCAGGAGACCTCTCAGTCCTGGGCAAACAGGGACAGCTGTTCACCCTAGGGACCAGGAACTTCTAACCAGTTACACTAAGAAGTCCTGGTGGAGAGGAGCAATCAAATGTTGTCCAGCACACACTCTACTGAGTGGTGTGGCAAGCCCGAAAAGGGTCAGGTGTGAGAAGAGGCAGGCATGAGACAGCAGCCCTTTAGCCCCACAGAGGAGGATTTCTGCGAGTCCAATCCACCCTCTGATTGTATCCCCAGCCAAGCCAAGATGAGATGAGATCATGCCAGGAACATACACTCCTTTCCCCCTTGCCCTCTTCTCTACCACAAGGACAGCGGCAAAGTTTGGTGCTTAAATTCTCAAGCTCATGACAACCAGCCAAAGAAATGAAATAATAAAGCCTTCCTGAACACACTCCTTAGGTTGTACTTTCAGTTTTTAAAACCTCCCTGGATAGAGCTACCCACACAGCTTTCAACTTCCCTACTGTCACAAAACCCACTTAGCAGACAAAAATTATAAAGCTTTCCACCTCTCCACACCCCCCATCCTGTTTGGGTCCGCTCCTGCCCGAAAGTGTTTCCAAGCTGACTTCCTAAAATGAACGGGGCTTGTGGTTTCTCTAATTGCTCGTTCCCTCTCTTTGATCTTATGCTGCTGTGATTAGCTATGACTCAAAGGCCCTTTTCTTCCCACCACTACTCACTTCAAACAGGAAGGTGTGAAGAAAAGTAAAGGAAGTCAGAATGCTGAGGGGGAAGGTTTGGAGGCTGGGAGACATATCACTGCTCAAACTCTGAGTCGCAGGGATTAACTGGGGCCCAGTCGAGAGGGGTGCTGCAAAAACAAATCCCTAGAGGCTATGAAAGACAAGTGAGCAAACCGTCCATGAGGCGGCTGTCTCCACTTCCCTCTCCCACATCAACAGGGCTTTGAGAGGATTTCCTCTTCTCTTATCTTGCCTGCAACTCAACTCCCTCAGGTGGCAGCAGTAACAAGACTCTGAACAAGAGGCCAAGCTGAGGGCCTCAGCTTCGAAGCAAGCCTGTCCTGGCCGAATCACTAGGGCAGTACTGTTGGGTCCCTGGACAGAGGAGGCTAAGACAGGAGAAGAAGTCGGCCAGAACCACAGCAGGGATGGAAGATGACCCTAAGTCAGAAAGCTTTTAGCTTGCCCCTCGCCACCTCAGCATGATGGTTCTTGGAAAACAGGCCCTGGAATGACCCTCAGCCAAGAGTGTACAGGTTCCCCTCCAGCTTGCAAATGGCCTCCCCTGCATTTTTCATGCGCTGGCCCCGTTTTGTTTTTTCTCTCCCTCAGATAACATGAAAACACAGCAGAGGATATCCCGTCACAGAGTTTGTTTCCTTTAACAAAAACAAAAGGAAATGCCCTGCCTCAGAAAGTACCTACTCATGGAATTTCAGGGAGGCAGGGCCATGCAGAGAGGGAGGGCACCAGCCAGAGGGCCAGGTGACCAAGCTGCCCAGGGCCTCTGCACCAGCCACACAGTGGGTCTGTCTCTGCAGCACGAGGCATGAGGCCTGGCACAGAGAGTGCTAAATAAAAATCTGTTGAGAAAAAGAAGAAAGAGAGAGAGAGAGGTGTATAGACGAACAGAAGAGCTGGCAGAATAGCACTGTGATTAAAACTGTCACTTAGAATTTTGACTTCTCCACTTACCAGCCACATGACTAAGGGCAAATTACTTAACCTCTCTGTGCCTCTGTCTCCTCACCAGTAAAACGAAGATAATAATGGTACTGCCTTAAATGCTTGTTGTGGGGATCAAATGAGATAATACATTTAAAGCTGTTAACACAGTGCTTGGTGCAGAGGGAGTGCTCAAATTAGTTTTTATTAATTATTATGAGCTGAAGTCAAGATTCTGATCATTTATTTACCGAGAAACTAGAGTTCACCACCTCAACAGAGCACAGTGTGTTGGAGAGAGCTGGATTCAAATCCCAACTCTACCACTTACTACCCATGCGAGCATCAGTTTCTTCAACTGTAAAAGAAGGATCATATTAGAGCATTCCATTGGTAGTTATGAGAACTAAACGAAATAATGCACGTGCACTGACTGACACACGCTTGCCTTACAACAAGTATTAATAAAGTTAGTTACAACGGTTGCTACCTCTGCCGAAGAAAGACAACTCAGTCTCTCCAAGGTGTGTGTGGCTGGGAAGAGATTAAGGGCGTAGCTCTCCCAGCCATTTAACCAAGCGCAAATCTGACCCTCGTGTTTCCAATGCTTTCAGGAGAGCCCCAGGGCCTCCATGCTCACCTCAGTGCACCAAATCCTCAATAAATATCGTCTTCATAGACAGCTTGTGAGCAACTGCCTCAGCAGATACATAACAGCGTGAAGAGGCCGCATTTTGATCCAAACTTTCTCTTCTCAATCTTTTTTTTTATTGAAGTATAGTTGACATACAATACTATGTTAGCTTCAGGTGTACAGCATAGTGATTCAACATTTATATACATTAAGAAATGATCACCATAAGTCTAGTAACCATCTGTCACCATTCAAAGTTATTACAATATTATTGACTATATTCCCTATGCTGAAGATTACATCCCCGTGACATTTATTTTAGAACTGGAAGTTTGTGCCTCTTAATCCCCTTCACCTATTTTGCCCAACCCCCACTCCCCTCCTCTGGCAACCACCAGTTTGTTCTCTATATCTATGTTTGTTTGTTTTCAACCTCTTTTGTTTGTTTTCCCCAAGGTCACCCCTGACCAAACCACAGTTTGAAGTGAGGAAGAAAAAGGAAAAGGAATATTTAGTATATCTCACTGATTCCAAGCAATGCACAGTTCCCTGAAGGTTCCACATTGTGCCTCCCAGCAGATCCCTGCACACGCTGCCTCCTCCCCACCCCACACACACAGTTGAAAACAGTAGGCCTCTCAAGGGGCTCACATGCCAGTAGGGACACAGACAACTGGGCAGAGGAGGCAGGCCTGACCTCCCAGTCTTCCTTCAAGTTTCGGCCCAAACAATGCTTCCTCAGTGAGGTCTGCCCTGACCATCCTCATCAAGGCGGCAAGGAACATTCTCTGCTTCCTGGGTACCTCCACCCTGGCCCCTACCACACTGTAGGGCACCCATGCTTAGCCATCCGTCTCCACCCTCACACCACATGCTTTTTGGTGAAAGGGCCCGTACTCATAGTGTTCTCTGTGCCCATACTGTCTACCGGCACAGGGTAGCACTCTTCCGAGTGCTTTACCTATATTAATTCATATAATCCTCACACCAACCCTATAAGGCTAAGTACTATTATTATGCCTATATTACAGATGAAAACACTGAGGCACAGAGACATCAAGTAACTTGCTTAGGGTCACACAGCTAAAAAACGGTAGAGCCAGGATTTGAAGGCAGACAGTCTAACTCACGTCCATTCAGTAGAATGGGTACTATTATAATTCCTGTTTTACAGATGAGAAAACTGATCCTTGAGGCAGGATGTCAGTGGGGGTGTCAAGCTCTGGTAGAGGGAGGGAAAACAAATCAGAGGCTGAGTGTCTTCTCTGGCTAGAGGTCAGTGAGTCCCATGCGCTCACTTTACCAATGGGAAACTGACACCCTGCAGTGGGAAAGGGCTAGAATAAGAGCACTCTGGAAATCAATGGCAAAGTTGAGGCTCAGATCTAGGTCTCCATTCATACTCAATTCCTGCCTCATCTCTATTTCTGTGTGTCCCCTGAACCTGCACATCTTCACTCTTGCCCCTTACCCCCACCCCTACAAAATAGTTTTAAAAAGCGATAGTGAAGCCTTTTTCTCCAGAGTCTTCTGATTACGCTACCTGTGCTACCCACCTTAAGATAACTAGTTTTGTAGAGACCACCACTGGGTTAGACCAAAGTTGCAGACAAATACCTAGCCAGGCGATAAGGATTCAGAGTGGAACATCTTCTAATCATCCAAGTTTGTAAACACTTTGTACTTTACAGAAAAAAAGTTATTAAATACATGGTGAAAAGGGAGGGAAAAAAGCTGGTTCCAATCATACAATTCTACAACCTCCCCTGGACTGTTTTTTGGAGTTTTTTTGGTTTTGTTTTTGTTTTATTGGTGGCTTAAAACCACACAAATTTATTTTCTTACAGTTCTGGAAATCAGAAGTCCCAAATGGGTCTCACTGGACTAAAATCAAGGTGTCAGCAGGGCTGCATTCCTTCTGGAGGCGCTGAGGGAGAATATGTTTCCCTGCCTTTCCAGATTCTAGAGGCCACCCACATGCCTTGGCTTGTGGTCCCCTTATCTTCAAAGCCAGAAATATTGAGTTGAGTTCTCGTCAGATCACATCTCTCTGGGTCTCCTTAGTCTTCTCCCTTTTCCACTTTATAGAGCCCTTGTGATTACACTGGGCCCACCTGGATAATCGAAGGTACTCTCCTCATCGTATGTTCAGCTGATTAGCAACATTAATTCCATGTGCAAGATTAATTTCTCTTTGACATTTAACCTAACATATTCACCAATTCCAGGGATTAGGACATGGACATCTTTGGGCGCCATCATTCTGCTTATCATACCATATGATTAATGAGTTACTGATATACCCTAACGCAAGATTTTTAAAAATTATTTACCAACTGCACATTTTTAGGTTGACATCTAGCATTTTTCATTCAAGTTGCAAAGAATGTAATTTCTTACATCTTGTAAATCTCAATATTTACATCACACTTAAAAGTACCTAAATGAATTTAAATGTGATGGTGATTTGATATAACCGTCATCCACTTAAAATTTTTTCAATACATGCCCTATACTCATTTTATACTCAATTACCTTGCACTTACTGTTACTGCCCAAAAGTCATTCAGCTGTTTGAATTCTGCTGCTAGACCTAGGACATAACCTTTGCATTGCCCACTCCATTCTGGACAGCAAAGACCAGAAACAAAATGGAATGGCTGTGCGTTTCACTGTGTATGAAATATACCTCAATTTAAAAAGGGCAGGGGGTGGATTAGACCAGACCACTGTAGAAACTAAACAACCCAAGAATTAGTCCATGGGCCAGAGACAAAGGGGCAGGCTCCATCGTGGGGTAGGCTCTGCAGTCCTAAACAGAGTGTGCCTCAGACCCTCTGCTTGCCTGCACCTTGACCCCTTATGAATACCCTTCACCACACCAAGCTAACTCCTACTCATCCCGCAGGCCTCAGCTTAAATCTTATCTCCTGAAAGAACCCTTCCCAGAGCCCCTCCTCCACCCAAATTGAGTCCCCTTGATATGCCCTTTGTATACCACGTTCGTTCCCTTCCTTCAAAGGACTTATCACAATTTGTGCATAGACATTACTTGTGTGTTTATTTGATGAGCATCTATCTTCACCCCTAGACCACAAACTCCATGAGAGCAGGCAGTGGAATCGCCAGTGTTAAACCACCGTGCCCAAAAAACTGCCTGGCACATAACAGGCATTCAAACATTTGGGCTGAATTGAATGAATAAACGATTATCAATTCGGCCTCCCAAATACCTTGATCCTGGAAAAGGGGGTGGTGTTCTGGATAAGGGAAATAGGTATTTTGGTCAGTGGAGAGGTATGTGCCTCATGACAAATAAGTAAGGTGGAATTGTGCTTTAAAAAAAAAAAGAAAAAACCTTCATATCACATGTAATTTCCATCACTTTAATTAAACAGTATGATCCTTAATGACAAGAAATAGTGTATCCTGTGTCTGTGTTTAGCCCAGTGATTTGTAGGGTTCCAGAGTGGGCCACATCCTCAACCATCTCCCCTTCTGAGGCATGATGCTGATGCCTCGTGCTGCCTCGTGCCCCCACAGTAAAGATGCACTCCTTTGGGTGAAGCAGTGTCTTCGCTGGCTCCTCTTTTCAAGGCTCCAGATGGCTGAGGATGAGGGCAGGGCAGCGAAAAGAGGAAAAGGCACAGACACGTTTCACAGCCGGTCACCCCTGCTGAGACTCAGGCCTGGTGCTTGGCACCTCCATGTGCTCAGAGGCATTTGGTTGACTAATGTTGAAACAGGAAAAATTTTTAACAGCCTCACAATCCAATACTCAAAATCCTTGAGATGAGATGACAACTGGGGAAAAGGGTGGTTACCAGGCTTCTAGTTCTTTCTTCACCAACAGTTTCAACCAACATGAGTTATAGACTTTCTGCTCTGGGTCCCAAGCTCATTCCGAGGTACTATGGCCTAGTGGATAAGAGCATAGGTGCCGGGGTCAGGCAGGCACCAGTCTGAGGGTTGTTCACCCACCTACCAGCCATGTGACCTGGGGCAAGTCACCCAACCTCTTTGGAGATTTTGTTTCCTCTCCAACTACCAACTGAGTTGTTGTGAGGGTTAAATGAAACGACGCTATAAAACAGTGGGCCCTGAGTGTGCGATACACTGAGCTATTAGCTGGAGCTGAGTTTACCTGGACGTTCTCTTCAGTCACCTCAATTTCGGCTGTATAGATGTAATCAATCAGCTTACTCAGCGTCTGCCCATCCATGTCCTTGATTTCAATCTTTTTGGCTTTACTCTCAGACATGTCACCTACAGTTCAAAACAAAAACAAAATGGACATGAACTTGGCACCTAAGGTATGCTTAACTTTCACATGGCCTCTTGCCCTGTCTTGGCAATATAAAAGCACTGGCTATGCTCTGGGATGGAGCAGAAGAGATTCAGGTGCAGAGGAAGATAAACCAGCTGACACCAAGGTCACATCAACTTTGGGTCTGTGACCATCCACAAACCCAACTTTAAGCATTCCACACTCTATCTGTTGCCCATTTCCGTTGTGAAGGCAAATCTGTATACAATAACTCATTCAACCAACATTTACTAGAAACTTCTATACACAGGGCCAGGAAGTGAACAGATATGCACTTGTCTTCAAGAGGACATGGTCTGGTAGGGAAGATATATAAAAACATTTATAAACAGAGGTGATAAGAACTTAGGAGAGGTATACGCGAAGTACCATGATAACAACAACAATAAAAAGTAACATTTATTGAGTGCTAACTACGGCCAAGCACTGTGCTAAGCACTTTAAAGTGTTGCCTTTTTTAATCTTCACAACAACTTATGAGGCTTACTAATATTATCCCCATTTTACAGATGAAGAAACTGAGGCATAGAAGGGTAGGTAATTCATTTTGCCCATAGTCACACACCTAGGAAGGGGCCAGGCTGGGACTGAAAACTCTAGAGCCCACACGGTAATCACTATGCTATACTAAGTCCCAAGAATGCAGAAGAGGGAGCAACAAACCCTGCCTGGGGGATCCAGGAAGGCATCCTAGTAGGAGGTCACATCTGAGCTGGGTATTGGAGGATAAAGAAGTGTTCCACAGGCAGCAAAGGTGAGGAAGGATGAGCTGGATGCAGGAACCATAAGTGTAAAGTGAGAAAAGTGCCAGAGGATCAATTTTGGGAACGGTGAGAGGCTGGTATGGCTGGTACATATGAGAGGAAAGAAGCTGGAGAGGTAGACAGGGGCCAGGACTTGCAGAGTCCTATAAGCCGTGCAAATGAGTTTGGACTTTATCCCAAGGGTAGCACCATTGAAAGGTTTTAAACAGGGGAATGACATCAACAGATGGGTATTTTTGAATGAAATTTTGGATGCAGGGTAGAAGCTGGATCAGAGGCAGGGAGAACAGTTGGGAGGCCCTGATAGTAATCCAAGAAAGAGAGGACGTAAGCCCGTCAACTAGGGCAGCAGCGGCATCATGTCTGCACAGTCCTGAGGCCCCTTACTATACAGCACATAGGTTTATCTAGAGCCAGGCTCATTCAACAAGGGCTGCTGATTTCAGAAGCAAAACACAGGCACACAGGCACTACATGTGTCTTTGTAGACTGAAATAAAGGGCAACCTGACTGTAAGAAACAGGGATTCAGAAGCCCATATGTGAGTGTGAAAGCAAAGCCTGGGCGGTTGTTTTCTCTCGGTGGAATTTATGCACTGGAGCCAAGAAAATACAGTACAGTACAGCATGTGGGCTGCAGACGCCCACCTCCAAGCTGCGGACTGCACGTGATTCCTCCACCAATCCACAGTTCCCGCGTCCTGACACAGTTCTAGATATGAATGACTCTGGACCAGGGAGAAAAGGGGGAAAACCCCATTCTAAACCCTGCCTGCTCCCTTCACTGCCAGGTCAGGTAGACCAGACAACCTCCACTCTCTTCTCTCTTCTCTCTGTCTGCTGGTGGAAGCCAGTGAAAGGCCTCAGCACCAGGAGCCTGGGGCAGGAGGAAGAGTCTACGAGGTAACAAGAAAAGAAGGTAGATTTCTCCTCTACCCATAAGACAGGCTCTTACAATCTCTCTCTTGAGTTTACCCCAAATACATACACAAAAAACATACACACAAGGAAATCAGAAGTTAAACTCATCTCTCCAAACAGCTATTAAGAAGTTCATTAATAAAGGTCCAGTTGGTAATTATATTGCAAAAGATAATCAAAGATAGCCAATTCTTAGTTTAACAACTTAAGCCTTAAAAAAGAGACAAAAAAAGAGCCACCTGACTACAAGAACCAAGAGATTCAGAAGCTCTTACGTGAGTACGAAATCAGAGCCTAGCCTGTTGTTTTCTCCCTGTGGAATTTGTGCTTGGGAGTCGGGTTAGGGTTTTGTAACTTTGGGGTAAACACGTGGAAACTCCTGAAATTGTATAAAATATTTGTATATATGGGCAAAAGTTTGATTTTTTGGGAGGAAATGACAGACCATTTTTATTAGTCTCAAATGTCCATAAAAGGTTAAGACACAGTTTTCTAGATGGTGGGACTTTGGGAGATGTTTTTCCTGCTACTCTACATGACTCTGAAATTTCTAATTTTCTACATTAAGTACTTAAAACTTCAATAAGGAAAGAAAAAAGCATGTGAAAGAAAAACTAGGGCCTCGAAGACAACATTTATTTTCTAAGAAAGTTCTCTTATAGGAAACTGGAGACCTGTGTAAGTCATCCAAACTTGTAAAATCCTATCTTATTATCTCTTAACGGACCAGCAGAAGATACTGCACCAAACTAAGACTTCAGCTTAAACAAACCCGGAAAGTGGTAGTAATAATAGTTGCTACTATGTGCCAGGCCGTCTGCTAAGGGTTTATACACGTTATTTCATTTAATCCTTGTAACAACCCCAGGAGATAGATATTACTTCCATTTTACAAATTACAGAAGTGGAATTTCAAGAAGTATTTGCACATAGCTAGTTAGAGGCAGGGCTGGGAGTGGAACATTGACCTAACTCTAGACCTCATGTCATTTCTAATAAATCCCTCTATAATTTAAAACTGACCCTAACTAATGACCTTGATAAAAGTATTCCCAAACAAGGCCTTGGTCCAAATTCTGAGGACAACTTAGTACTTAATATCTAGCAAGCAAGAACCAAGAGGGACGGGATCTTGTCAAGCTTATTTGTCAAGATATCCTCAACACCTAACAAAGTTCTTGGCATATAACAAGCACTTAAAAAAATTTGTTGGAGCAAGGAAAAAAAGGAAGAGAAGCCTTCTCTTGACATCACATAATTCCATGGACTTCAGTAATTCCTGAGAGGCAGAAACCAGCAAAGGCTTGGTCACTCTTGCTCCTGCACTTGCCTCTGCTAATTTGACAAAATACTTCTAGAAAACAGAACGTGAGCCCTGTAAGTCCTTCCATCTTCAAGGTCAACCCAAGAGCCCTCCTCTGCTGGTTTTTCCCAAGAGGCCCAGCCCAGCCACCTCAGACTCAGAAAACGTCTATTGGTTGGACATCTTTTTAGCTCCTTCCATCTTGTGCTTGTAATCTGTTAACATGCATGTCCTGTTCCTCCAAATAGAATATGATCCACTCAAGGGCAGATATTTGTTCATTCACTCATTCATTCATTCATTCAACAAATGTGTGTCACACAGCCCCCGTGTGCCAAGCACTGTGTTAGGCCCAGAGGACACAAGGGTGAATAAGTTATGGCCCTGTCCTCCCGGAGTTCAGTCTAGCAGAGCAAGAGACAAGTAAACCAACAATTACAAAGTGTGTTAAATACCAGAAAAGGGTGCTCAGCTTATAAGGTTCTTGAGCTGGGATTCCTGGACCCTGAACTGCATGCAAAATGATGAGCACACAGGAGCACATATTTGCTTTTTTGTGGAGAAAGTCCCTTGTTTTCAACAGATTGATTCATAATGGTTAAGAATTACTGATCTAAAGTGAAATCTGGTTATTCAGAAGTCATAGTCATAGAAGAGAAGTGACTATAAGGGAAGAATAGTCCAGGCAGAGAGAACAGTGTATGTAAAGGTCTGGAAGTAAGAAAGAACATGACCTGTTCTCAGACCATAAGAAGTTGAGTCTGGCAGAAGCACAGCGTGCAAAGGGAGGAATGGGGAGACGAGGCTGGAGATATAAGCAGGGTCTGGACCACTTGAGGGCCTTGTGGGCCACGCTAAGGAGTTTAGACTTCATCCCAAGAGCAATGGAAAGCCCCTGACAGATTTTAAGCAAGTGTGGGATATATCAGATTTATATTTTGGAAGGATTACTATAGCCACAGAGTAGAGAATGGGTTGGGGGTGAGGGAACAAAACAGGAGGCAGGTTTACCAATTAGAAGGCTGCTGCAGTACATCAGATGACAGATGATGGTGGCCTGGACTAAGGGACTATGTCTTCAGCTTCTTTAAATCCTTAGACTTTACTTAGGCCCTTGCACCTAGAAGTCTCCTAGAACCCCAGAGAGCCCAGGAGAGCACGCAGCCCCACACCTCTATCAGGTACAAGAGTGCAAGTTATAGTTCTCGATCCTAGCAAGCACACCATGAGCACAACAGAGCTCTTTTTAGGTGGAAGACTGCCAAACGGCGCAAGAGGGAGGAGGTGCAACTTGAGGAGCAAAAACGGGAAAATCTTTCACTACCGCAGGAGGCTCAGGAAGTCTAGAAAATCACTGGCTCATCTTCCAGGTCATTAGTGTAAACCTCACCCTATTATTCAGCAAAAGAAGCCTCAAGAATGAGAAAGGAATGATAGAGTGGCTGGCAAGTCTTTCTGAAGAACCAGAGCTAAACCTCCAACACCCCTACAAAGTTGTATGTCAAAGAGAAGAAAAAAGTGCATTCAGGGGAGCCCTTATGTTATAGAATTCTTCCTCACTCCTAACTTGAATCTTTACTGCTGCAATCTAGTTTCATGTTCTGGGTAGAAAGAAAATAGAAGATCCTTATCCTTTACACAATGATCCTTCATGGGTGTTAAAATGGTTATTAAACTTTCTTACCCCTAACCCTCATCTGGCTAGTCCTAATATCTGGGTTGCCAACTCATTTGCCTAGAGTTGAGGCCTACATCACACGTTAACCTCACATGAGAAAAAGAAATACTCTGCCACCTACCTGAATCCTGGCCAACCCTCCTGTAGATGAGTAGTCTGGGCCATTTAACTGCAAAAGGCTGACCTCTGCCTCTTGTGAAATAAGGACATTCCCTGCCCTGCCTTTAGCCCAACGCTGTGTGAGAATCAAAGGAGATAATGAGAGTGTGAGAAC